AAATTCGTGCATTTACATATTAATTGTGTTGTTTTAACTCTTAGAAACGATGAATATTAACTCAACGCAGAAATGTCAAAATAACGCAACGATAATATGTTACATTAACATAAGAGTATGTTAAAAATTTAACACAAAAATTTTTACACGAAAAAATTTTAACAAAAATACAAAATGTCTTTTACCGTGTATATAATTACATATAAATGTTACGCCCGCTAAATTATACACATACAGAAACGAGATATTATCTTGTCACAGTGATAAATGACAAATGATAACATCGTGTAAGATATTGTTATGTCCAAGCCCGAGGAGGGATGGGCCGAAGAAAGAGAGTAACGATCACTTCCCGAGAGTATGTGCAGACACCTCGGGTCGAACGAACTGACAAGCCGGAAACATCAAAGACGCATCAATTTTATACTGTTTACAATCTCTATATCCACTCAATAATCTCTTTTTAAAAAATGAAATTAATCCTTATTACTCGAGATAGGATTTGTGTGTATTTTTGTGCATAGATATGGATATCTAATTAAGTAAGGGATTATTTCTCATAGGACATGTGTCAGAAGAGAAGAAGTATAAAGGAAAAAAAAATTGATAAATAATTGCTTGATTGTGTTCGGGAAGGTGATTGTTTTGGGAGTTCGATAGAAGATCTGCAATGGCTCTGATGGTTGTCGCGATGGCTCTGAAGATTGGCGGCGATGTGTTATGGTTTTTATTTCAGATTAAATTTTAAATCAACTTAACACGGCACATGGATAATAACAATCACGGATAATATATTTAATAAATAATATATTTAATAATATATTTTTATTTAATATAATTAATATATTATATTTATATTTAATAAATAATATATTTAAGAAATAATTGTCGAACAAATGCAAATTGTGTCACTGCGGGAATAATAAATATACGAGTGAATATGAGAATAATTTGATACGTGTATACTCTCTTGTTTCCGTCAAAAGTTCTCGCTTATATTCCATTTTTGCTTTATATAACCAACGTGTATGCTTCTAAACAGAAAATCCATTTGGCATTTCTTCGTGGAATCGAAAATTGATTCCTTGAAAAGCTTTGATCCAATAAATAAAAGCAAAGAACACGATTCGTCATTTATCGGGAATCGGGCAATGGATCGTCCTACGATCACATATACGTGTACAGATTTATAGACGTATAGATACAGGCATACATACACAAAGCATAGGTTTATACACACCGACTAATTATCCATTTGATCCACTGATGACATTCTTAACGAATCATTTAATGATAGATGGACATGGAGACGAAGAAGGATAAATGAAGAATTGAGAAGACTAATAATAAGCAGGATTAAGGAAGCAAAAAAGTCGAAGAATATACATGTGAATGAACATATCGCACCAAGGAGAGATCAAATTATATCGTTTAATGAGATACAATTACCTATGAGTTTTTTTCTTCTATTTATTTTTATTATTGTTAATTATTGTATTCATAACATACATTAGCATAAAAGCAAATCAACTGGTTTAGTTCTCCCTTTTCTTTTTTTGATTTAAGAAGTCCAGTTATCCTATGACTTTGACATAAATATTCTGCTAATTCTCTTGTACTGTGAAGAATTCAGGATTAAACTCAAGAGTATATAAGTTATTGTTTTGACATATATCGTTTTTGATTTTTGTTTTTGGTTGATGTCTATGATTTAGATATGCATTGTTTCTTCACTGACAATGAGAATATTTGTCATTTATACAATCTTTTAAATTGAAAGTCGGATTTTAATGTTAATATCGAAAGTTCACTATTCGTTCCAGATTTATTTTTCTTTCTCGTCTTTTTCTTTTCTATCTTCATGACCATTTTCCTGTTTTAACATACGGGAACAGAGCCACCGATTGCCAACTCCAACACAAAGATTATAATGGCACAAGCGTATCCAAATCCAAGAATATAAAAACTGAAAGTTAGCTCCTTTAGTGACATTACATTGAAGCTTTTCTTCGTTAAAGCAATATGTTTCTCCTCTTCACGTTTGATTTCCAAGAAAAATTCATCTTGAACTTTCTTAATCAAGCCAACCTGCATCATCTGGTGCATAATATCGTTGGCGTGATTATACAGTGGCCAATTCTCACGGATGGCATACGATCGCATTATCGGACGCAACATTTTTGATTTAATAAAACCTTGATTCTTGATTCCGCAGTATAAATGGTAGCAATCTCCGATACATACAGCGGTCGACGAATTTTTGACATGTTCCACGCAATTTTTGTAGTTAATTACCTTGTAGCGCGATTGGAATACAGGATCATATTCGTCAAAGATATTCTTGAAGATGTTCGGTCCGTATAAAGTGTAACCGGCATCCTATAAAAAAGTACCAATTAAATTAACATGTACCACTTATACCTCAAAATATTAAATTCACACCATTTTATTATAAAAAATTTATGGCTAAAATAGCAGATGCTTTATAGGTTTTTTTAATTAAATTTTTTTTTACTTTGTTGTTTTATATTAATTTATACAAGTTAACTTGTATAAATTAATATAAAACTTGTAACAAGTTTTCTTTTTTATAGTCTTATTTATTTTAGAAATGTTAATCTTTAATTGGCGCAATTTTATATATCACTATTTTGTAGATAAGACAACAATTAGATACAATTTGTACTATGAACTTGGCGCCTTTTTTTTACCTTCTTCTTAAAAAGTTTTTGGGGATTATAAAAATTACTCAAAAGTAATGTTATATGATAATATTGGGTTGGGGAAAAAGTTTCTTCGTATTTTCCGGCAGATGGAATTAGAATCGCATAACCTTGATAATATTAATCGGATCTGTCAATACTTTGTGTGCGTTTGAAAGGTGACATATCATAAAGAAAAAGTAGCAAAAAAGTAGTGATATTTATCTATTCAATTAAAAGTTATTGCATCTTGAAAATGAGTGAAGAGAAAGAAGAAATTCGATACATTTTAAAATTTTATTTTAAAAAAGGGAAGAATGCAACTCAGGCAGCTAAAAAAATTTGTGATGTTTATGGACGTGATGCTGTATCAATACGTGTTGCACAAATCTGGTTCAAGCGTTTTCAATCTGGAAATTTTAACGTCAAAGATACACCTCGTTCTGGTCGACCGATCACTGAAAAAGTCGATGAAATTATGGAAATAATTGAACAAGACCGGCATATTAGCAGTAACGAAATCGGTAAGCAACTGAACATCGACCACAAAACAGTTTTAAACCATTTGCAGAAAGCTGGATACAAAAAAAAGCTCGATGTTTGGGTGCCACATGATTTAACAATCAAAAATTTAATGGATCGATTTTCTATCTGCGAATCATTGTTAAAACGAAACGACATCGAACCATTTTTGAAACGGCTCATAATAGGCGATGAAAAATGGATCACGTATGACAATAATGTACGAAAAAGATCGTGGACAAAGCGAAATGAAGTTCCGCAAACTGTGGCAAAGCCAAAATTGACGCCAAGAAAAGTGATGCTGAGTGTGTGGTGGAATTACAAAGGAATCGTTCACTACGAGCTGCTGCCGTCCGGTCAAACAATTGATTCTAACCTTTACTGTCAACAACTGGAAAGATTACGCCAGGCAATTGAGAAAACGCGACCAGAATTGATCAATAGGAAAGGCGTCGTCTTTCATCACGACAACGCGAGACCTCATGTATCTATAGCGACTCGTCAAAAATTAAGAGAACTTGGCTGGGAAGTTTTGATGCACCCACCTTATAGTCCTGACCTTGCACCATCAGACTACCATTTATTTCGATCTCTACAGAACTCTCTTAATGGTACGAAGTTGGCTTCAAGAGAGGCCTGTGAAAATCACTTGTCACAGTTTTTCGCCCAGAAATCACACAAGTTCTACAGTGACGGGATTATGGTTTTACCTCAAAGATGGCAAAAGGTGGTCGAACAAAACGGCACATATTTAATTTCATAAGCTTCATTTCAAATATGAATAAAATTTGTTTCATTTTTGCAATAAAATACGAAGAAACTTTTTCCCCAACCCAATATTTTTGAATATTTTTTTCAAGATTTTATAAATAATAATTATTATTGAATTTCTTCTTCTTCTCAGCCTTGCGCAGTCCACTCCTGGACATAGGTCTCTTCCATTTCCTTCCATGTCTCCCTTTCCTGAGCCACCCGTAACCAATTCGATCCTGCGTGCCTTCTAATGTCGTCGTGCCAGCGTGACTGCGGTCGACCCACGCTCCTTGTCGACGCCCTCGGTGTCCAGCACACCAGACGCTTATTCCACCTTTCATCCTTACACCTGGCCACATGGCCCGCCCATCTCCACTTCAGCGCTGCTATTTGTCCGACGATGTCGGGGACTCCTGTCTTCGATCTTATGATATCATTTCTCACCCTGTCTCTAAGACTGATCCCTAACATTGATCTTTCCATTGCTCTTTGGCATACCCTAAGCGAATTTGCACTGCGCTGGGTCAGTGTCATAGTTTCCAGGCCGTAAGTTGTCACCGGTAGTATGCATGACCTATATACTTTTCGCTTGAGGTTTATGGGAATTTTAGGGTCTTTGATAATATACCTTAACTTACCAAAAGCTGCCCAACCCAAACTGACCCGTCTTGCAATCTCCGCCGTCTGGTTTTGTTTGCCCAGTTTGATGGTATGGCCCAAGTACACATATTCCTCTACATTTTGGAAGGTTACTTTATCGATGGTCACTTTTATGTTTTTAGAGGACATGATCTTGGTCTTTTGTAAATTCATACTTAGGCCCACCTGTCTGGATGCACAATTCAGCTCTTGTAACATCCCTTCCAACTCTGCAGCATCGCTATTGAATAGGACAATGTCGTCCGCGAAGCGCAGATGGCTCAGATATGTTCCGTCAACCGCCACTCCCTTCCTCTCCCAAGACAGCCCTTTGAAAACGTATTCAAGTGCCAGAGTGAACAATTTTGGAGAAATTGTGTCACCCTACCTAACTCTTCTCCTCACTTGAACCTTCTCGGTGCACATGTCATCGTTGATTTTAACTTCCAGTGTGGCTTGTCTATAGATGTATTTTATAAGGTTCGAGTATCTTGAGTCAACTCTCGCCAAATCCATTGCCTCCAGTATCGCCCAAGTTTTCACTGAGTCAAATGCCTTCTGGTAGTCCACATACGCCATATTAAGCGGAATATTGTATTCCGTGCATCTCTCCACCAGCGTGCGTATAGCCTGAAGGTGATCGATGGTACTATAACCTTTCCTGAATCCGGCCTGTTCAATTGGTTGGAAGAAGTCCAATTTGCTAGTGAGGCGCTTCGTGACTATCTTTGTCAGCACTTTATAAAGGATGTTAAGTAGGCTGATCGGCCTGTAATTTGCAATGTCGGCAGGGTCTCCCTTTTTAAACAAAAGAATGACCTCGGCATTATGCCAAGCCTCTGGGATTTTTTCTTCCTCAAACATTTATTGAACAGTGCACAAAGTGCTACCTCCAGTCCAGTTCCTCCAACTTTCAGCATTTCACCAGTTATTTGGTCCGGACTCGGGCTTTTGCGATTTTTTAACTCTTTCAGCACTGCTCTGAGCTCGTCTCTCGATACTTCCGGGATCTCCTCCGAACCTACATTTCTGATTACTTGTTTCCTGTTGAGATGTAAGGGTTTAGGGTTTGATCCTTTATACAATTCCTTGTAGAAGTCGCGGACAATGGTCACCACATCATTTCTCTCATGCACGATCTCCCCCTCGTTGTTCCTCATACAGTTGATTCTCGCTTCCCCTGGCTAGTTTTGATCTGAGGGATTTGAGGTTCATGTTGTCCTCGATTGCTCGCTCAATTTCCCTCGTTTTATTTGCTCTTACGTCCCTTCGGATCGCCTTCTTTATTTCTTTGTTGAGCTGCGTATATCTTATAGAGTCTCTATCAGTGTTCCTTCTTTCTTCGATGAGTCTCTCCGTAGCCTGGGTGATCTTAGGGTTGGCTCTGTTTTTGAGTGCGCATGTTCGCTTTACTGCAGATTTAATGCTGTTGGTGATCTTTAAGTTTAGATCGTTTAGTTCCAAACGGCCGAGCTCACACTCCGGGCCCAGCTTCCCCTCCAGATGGCTCTGGTATTTTCGCTTCTCGGTTTTCAAACTCTCTCTGCACGGTTGTAGATATCTCAACACTAACTTCTTTCTTTCGAGCCTTGTATCAATCTGAAAACACGCTCTTACCAGCCGATGATCGCTACCGGTGTCAAAGCGATTCAATACAGAGACGTCAGTACAAATATTTTTATTCGAACTGAGGATGTAATCTATTTCATTTTTTACTGTGCCGTCTGGGCTTCTCCATGTCCATTTTTTCTGTGGCTTTTCCTGAAAGAAGGTATTCATGCAATACATTCCTTCCCTACCGAGAAAGTCTATTAGCGTTTGGCCTCTGTTGTTCCTTGTCCCCAAGCCGAACATTCCGATATTTGTGTCGGCCATTGTTTGTCTTCCGATCTTAGCATTAAAATCGCCCATCATTATCGTGAAGTGTGCCTTTTCAGTAGATCTCGCCTCTATAAGGTCTTCGTAAAACCGCTCTATATCCTCATCTTGGGCAGTACTCGTGGGAGCATATGCTTGGATAATCTGCAGGATGTATCTTTGGTTCAGTCTCAGCAGCACATAGGCGACGCGGTCAGACACCGCCTTCAACTTGGTAACTAAGTGTTTTATTTCTTTGTGGATCAAGAGCGCCACTCCGCCCAAGTGCGACTCCTCTGCATTCTTCTGGAACAACAGGTGCCCAGATTTTAGCAGCGTGGTTTCCTCGCCCGGTAGTCGCGTCTCGCTGACTCCCATGATATCCCATTTAATGTTTCTTAACTCTCTTTCGAGGCTTATTAGGTGTTCCTCTCGTCTCATTATGCGTATGTTGTACGTCGCTATGTAAATTTTCTTTGGTTTTCGTCTTTTAATGGTGTGTCCCGATATCGAATTTTTGCCTCCTCCAGAATCCTCGAGGCAGACTGACAAATCAGTGCGAGATTTTGAGCTTCCAGCTCTGCTCGCCTGGGGTAATCCTGTTTTGGAATTCGACATTTCATGAGTTTGGAAGGATTTGACAATTTAAAACGCCGCGCTTGTCAGACGTGTTGGCGAGTACCTGTTGGTCCCTGAGAGCTATTTTATTTCACCCTTACCCTTCAAGCACGCTTGACGAGCATTTCCCATTCGCCACCAGGGAGACGCGCCCAGTTGGGGTTACAGGCTCCCCGCTGGGTATTATTGAATATTTTATAAATAATAATAATTATTGAATATTTTTTTCAAGATTTTATTAATAATAATAAAGGAGATTTAAAAATTAATTTAATTTTTTTGAGCATTACATTTTTTGCTCTTAATGTGATATCGCTTATTAAAACAATTAATAAAAAGTTATTTAAAATCATGGAAGCTTGTAAATTAAAAGTTTTCCTCATTAAATTACAATAAATATCTTTTACATATTTTATATATATTTTATCAATGTATTTCATTTGATATAAAATCTGTAATTTAGTAGTATTTATGTATTGCTTTTAAAAGGATTTCATTAATTTACAATCTTTCATAATTTTAAATAATTTTTAATAAATAGATGAATTCACTTCAACAATTAATATTACATCAAAGATGGAAAATCATTTAAAGAATAGAAAAAGATGGAATATTTAAAGAAATTGTCTTTAAAATCTTTTCTACATTTTTCACTTACACAAAATTAATTATACTACATAGATATATAATTGCAATTTACAAATAACAAATTTTCATATCTTTAATTGCTTATAAAATAGTTTGGCATATTTATTTAAATAAGATTAAAGAGAGACTATATATAAAAAATGTATTATTAATTTTGCGCAAATTGAGATATAAATCTAAAGAGGTAAAACATAAGAAAATGAAATTTTTCATTACCTTGAGACTTTGTATGCTGTCGATGTCGCGATAATATACCGGTACAGTGAGCAAAGATGACAAGCGGCTTTGGAAGAGAGCATTTATATTAAGGAATAAAATTAACACCATACATATGAAGATCCTTGCAGAATCCATTTTAGGCAAATGTAAAAATCCCAGAGACCACGAGTCTTATCATCTCTAGCCCAGCCTTTATATATCCCACGCTTTTCACAAAAACTATGTAAGTTAGCAAACATATCCCGATTATTCCTACTATTACTTTCGATGATAGAAAGGTTACTACCTTGATAAATTCAGAAATCGGTTTCATTGGTTGCGCTATCGCGCAAATGCTTGATCTTATATGGGGATATAGGAATCTAAAAATAAAAGTAATATCATATTTTTTAATTTCGTCTATGAAATTTTCTCTTGCTATGCAAGAGATGAAAATGTTTCTTTTTTTTTGCTTCTTTTTTCTCTTTGTCTTTTTCTCTTCATTAATAGCAATTTATTATTTATATTTAATTTTTATAATTCTGTGTAAACAAATTTAATAAACAATGTAATAATAAATAAGTTATCAACAAATATTTTTCTTATTATTATTATATAACATATATATTTGATTGTTCCAGGGATATCAATCTATTTAATATATGAAGTTTATAATTTAGTTAGATTTTTAAAGAATTCTTGAAGAAAGATACTTGAGAATTCTTCTTAAAAAATTATAAATTATTTTTATAATTATTTGGAAAAACTGCTGAGAGACATACTTAATTTTCCACCCTTCGTATATACATATTTTGTATTCATGGTAATGTCTATTTTGCTGTCGCTCACAAAGGCTCATCAAACCTTTATAAGTACCATTCGGCTCTATATGGCCCAACGAATAAGCATCTTTATTAAATATGGTGATTTCGCGATTTGCATTTAGCTTGCTTAAAAGCATTTTAATAATGTCACAGCTTACACCGCGAAATCTTTCTTGTTTCGGTAAGCTCAAGTTGATTTTGACAAACGGTTCCCACTCAATGGCATTTAATCGAATTTGATATTTGTTCAAAGTGGTCGTTTTATCAAAATCCAGATCTTTGCATATATCCCTGTCTAAAAATATAAAAGATATAGCTGTTTAAATTTTACATTTTTTGATACATTTTTCTAAGTATTACGCAAACTTAATAATATGTTTTAATAATAATGCATTAGATCAGAGCTCGGCAAGAACTGCACATTTCGGCCGATTTTCAGCTGGCTCCGCCTAGCGCGTCCTCCCTTATCTCGCCGTCCCGCGCAAAGCCTACGAGCCGCTCGGCGCTCAGGAGCGGGCGTATGGCAATAGCTTTCCACGTCACTCATGAGGTACTATTATCGACGCGTTTTTTTTTTAAGTGGTATCCCCAGTAGGCCTAATCCACTGATGACTAAAATGACCCTTTAACTAGTTACATAAGACGATAAAGTTTATCACGTCTTATGCGACTTGCTATATGCAAATAGATGTTCCTGATCTCGCTTGTAAAAAATCCCGAAAGTCATAAATATTCATCATATCAATTATTATTTATAATTCCGTGCAATTAGTTAAAGGGTCGTTTTAGTCATCAGTGGATTAGGCCTACAGAGGATACCACTTAAAAAAACGCATCAACAATAGTACTTCATGGGTGACATGGAAAGCTATTGCCATACGCCCGCTCCTGAGCGCCGAACGGCTCGTAGGCTTTGCGCGGGACGGCGAGGTAAGGGGGGACGCGCTAGGCAGAGCCAGCTGAAAATCGGCCGAAATGTGCAGTTCTTGCCGAGCTCTGCATTAGATTATAATTAGAACAAAAGAGTATATATGTTGTTAACTCATTTGAAAAATATTTTTCTAAAATAGTATAACAAATAATATATAAATTAAATTTCACCTTATATTAAGATACTTTACATCATTGAAAATTAATTTGCGCGAAAGAGCCATAGCGCGATAATTGGAGTGCAAGAAAGAAACAACTGTTTTCTTCGTGATTATTCGTATATTTTAAATTAAAAATAACATTAACAAAAAACAAACAGATCTTCTTTTGATCCTTCTTCAGACAAGTTAACAATATGCGTTACAAAGTGTTGTTCGATGACGCATTAAATTATAAAAATATATGTCCGCGACGCATAGGTAACGTTATATTGTATCTCGCAGAGATCTGGTAAGTATAACTCAAGTATATTTCAAGCCAACAGAGATATACAACAGCATACAGTTATCAATTTGTAAAAAAGCGCGGAATCTGATTTATTAAGACTTATCACTTTATTATATTACAATTACAATAATTTAAAGAATTATTAGAAACAATGTGCTTATCAGATCTTTGCTAGATACAATTTAACGCATATGCATTGAGGACATATATTTTTATAATTTAATGCGTTACCATAATTTTTAATTTGCACGCTAATATGTTTCCTTAGATGAGAAAAAAAGAAGAAAAGAAAAAAGTGAGAAAAATAAAGATACCGTGTATAAATTTCCTCTTCAATATTATCCAAGAATGACCCGCTCGCCCCTTGATATGTTCTATTTTGCACCAGCTGTCTGGCGTAATGTTCGAATATGGATTAAATGTGTAAAGAATAATTCCATCGTTTGGATCGATGCATATGAATATGACCGAGAGCAAGTCATATTCCCAAGCTGTCCAAAGATATGAGCGAGCATTTATACAACCCCGAATCTCGGTCTGCTTATCGACTAGAATATAAAATCCTTCTGGATTCGCCCATGGCGAGTCTTTTGCTCTCTATGTGAAAAAAAGTGTATATAATATATTATTATCATTTTCATTTACTAAAAAAATTGAGTGATATTATTTAATTAATTAAGTATAATATTGTTATTTTTCATATTCTTATAATTTAGTTGATTATAGTAAACGCAGACAAAAATCGTTTGATTGTATTAAGACGTATCTGATAGAATGCATTTTGGTTAAACCAAGCATTTCTAATTATCACGATAAGACTCGTTTTTTTATAACTAGAATGTTTAATAGAATTTATTACAAGGATTTGGTTAGTATTTTCTAGTTGGATTTATAAAAAATGTCTTGTTATATTAGCTAAATATGAACACAGTGATGCCATTCTTTTTGTGTAAATTTCGTATTATTATCCAGAATATATTAATATTTAATCGCCTAGTTTGAAATATAAAGATTCGAAGAGAAGGAGAAACAAAATAAATTTTTATTATCGACAAAAATAAGCTATCAGAGCTGATACAAAAGAAATATAAATATAAGTAAAAGTAATGTATAATTTAGGCCATTGAGACCAAAGAAAATTAAGTGCACGTCTATTTTAATATCAAATCTGTTTATCTAAAAAAGAAATTTGCATATAATAAAATTCTACTATATTTATTATATATTTTCGACTTATTTTTTTTATATAGAATCACCTTTCTTTATATTATCAATTTTGAGGCATTTATAATATTATACATGTTTTTTTCATAAAATTATATATTTCTTAAGTTGTTTTATTATTATTTACCTGTAACAGAGCTCGCAAGAGAGGTTGAGAAGCTGTCACTAGCACGAAACGATGCGCTCGATAAAAATACATGAAATTGTAATTCTTAAACATCAGGTAGGAGTATCTTGACAGGATAAATTTCCAGAATGTATCAAATCGAGGATTTGTTTCATTTATTAATGCTATGGGTATCATATTGATATATGATTGTGCAAGAAATTCATTATAATCTCCGCCCAGCAGTAAAGTCAAGTGAGATTCAGTTGGTAGACATCTTAATAAAATAAATACCTATAAGGCTATTGGTTAATTTTGATCGGATCGACACTCAATAAAAAATAACAAATTGTGTTTCTCTGTAACAAAAAGAACTCATCTTATTATTTACATTCTATTTACAAGTTTACACTTATTCTCACCTGTAACAAAAAGAAACGACATTCAATGTCATTAATTACAGGTGTCGATTACTATTTTATTATTACAATACTTTTTATTATTTTGTATTTCACCAAATCTTGGCACAATTCTTTTATGACTTTCCAGAAACGTACGTGTGTTCTCGTCAGGTTACGAATCCCCCCCTACTTTTCCATGCGTCGAGTTACATCACGTACAGT